CCATCTCGCCGTGGGGCAGTGCTTCACTGTGTCCCATTGGTCTTAGTGTATTTGTTTAGGGTGAAGTTGTGCACACATTAGGTGCTCCATAAAGACCACTGAGTGAGCATAAACCTTTACAGCTTGGAGAGTTCAAAGTCCATGTGACATAGACAGTACGAGTAGAAGACCAGATCTGAACTCGGGGCAGTGCTAAGCAATGCCTGCACGTCCCTTGTTACAGTCTGGATCCGAAGTGTTTCCCAAAAGCCCCCATGCTGAAGGCTTGGTCCTCAATGCAGCAATACCAAGGAGTGGGGCCTTCGGAAGGTGAAGGGCTCATAAGGACTCTGATCACATGACTGGATTAATCCACTGACAGATTCATGGCTCAATGGGTTATTGGGAGGTTGTAGAGATGTTACAAGGCAAAGCCTAGTTGGAGAAAGTAGGTCATTGAGGGCTTGGCCTTGAAAGGTATATTTCGTTCCCAGACCTCTCCTCTCTGTCCCTCTCTCTCTTTCCTCTCTGGCCACCAGGAGTCAAGCAGCTTTGCTCTCCTGTGCCCCACTGCCCGCCATGATGCTCTGCTATGCTAAGGCCCAAGCAATAGGTAGGGCTGGCAACCATGAATTGAAGTGCCTGAAACTGTGAGCCAAAAAAGGCCTTTCTGCCTTTTAAGCTGCATTTCCTCATGTATTTTGTCACAGTGACAGAAAGTTGACTAACACCCTTCCTGAGGCCACCGTCCCATCCCTCAACTGGGTGCCATGGGACACAGCCCCAGGAGGCCCCACCCCACTAAGACTCAGAGCCCTGCCTGTCTGTCCTGGAAGCCCAGAGTCCAGTTCTGTTTACAGGACAAAGCCAACACTTCCAGCTTCATCCCCTACGTGCCACAGTTTTTATACTGCCTGGCAAACAAAATGAAATACGTGTTGTCATTTCGTCTCTTAAGAAACAAGGCCTGCTCATTACCAAGTCCGTCTTGCCTTGGTGTGGGCGGAGAGAGATGTCCATGGTTAAAGGCAGCCATTCCACCCCATTGCTTTTGCTTATACATCTGGGTTCCAGTGAAGACAGCGATGGTCACCAAGTCCCCTCTTCCAGGAACAGCCCCCTGGCTCCCTCATCAGCAGTCCTCAGGCCCTAGCCCTGCTCCCAGCCCCAAAATGTCCTCCAGGACCTTAAGAAAATGCCAGGCATGGGAAACTAACTTCGCAGAACCACCCCATTCAGTGATTTTCCAAGTGTCAGAAGCAAAATGCCTATAGCTCACACTCATGCGGTGGTCAGCTGCTGGAGAAATTCTATTCCACTGAGAATCCATCTGTTCAGTCTGCCCTTAGAATCACACAGGAACTTGTCAAAAATACAGATTCCCGGGCCTCATCCAGGAAATACTGAGCTTGACACAATAAGCACAGGGTCCAGGAAACTGTATTTGCAACAAGCACTATAGGCCCCTCTGCCTTGCAAAGGTATTACTGTGTGACATCCTGGCTGTGGCCTGAAAAGCTGTGTTACCTGAGCCCACCTGAATGGTATTACTCAGCCTCAGTTTCCCACAGCGGAAGGAACACAGCAATAATCACCCTCTTGAAGGGGTAGGGCTGGCTGCGGATGGGTCCCACCCAGCAACAACACACATTAAAATACCCTTTAGTTCTATTCCTGAACACAGCTGAGTTCATTTCAAGGATCTGACAGGGCACCAGGAAAAAGAAAGTACTCTCACCTACAGAAAAGTGCTTACGTTTTCAACAGTCTCCAAGCCTCTGTGCATCTCTGCATTCTTTTCAGAATCCAAAGTCTACAGACCTCTTCTCTTCCCATGATGCCCCATAAATAAATCATCAGAGGATGCAAATTTGGTGGCCTCTAGAGCCTCCCTCCGAACAGAGCCAAAAGCAGATACACGGTCCCCGGGAACAATGAGCAGAAGCCTACATGTGCAAAATGGTCAAAAATGAGTCATTTCATTTGCGGAAAATGAACACATCTGATCTTGCAAATGTTTCGCCCTGGGGAAAAGGAGCGTGTATGAATTCCCAAACAGGCTGCTGGCAAAATACACGTGCCTGCTGCCAAGGGAGGCTAAAGCAGTCGACCAGCGTGGGGACCGCTCCCATCCTTGGAGGTTCAGGGAAAATAACCTTACCGAGCAGAGCGTAGGGGTAATTGACAGGTCTGGGGGCTGGAGTCTCAGAATTTGTGACCTCATGTTGAGCAAAGGCCATCGATTCTTGGCATCCATCAGCATCTAGGCTGATAACACCCAGGACTGGCCTCCGCCACGGGCACACTGCACCCCTGAGACTGTGCGGTGAGGGTTTGCTATGTGTGTTTAGGGGGTCTCAGCGGGATGCGGGTCCGCTCTTCTCCTTTCCTTCCAGTTTATGGCCTGAAAACATTGATGAGGCCTGAATCCAAGGAGACACCCATTAACACATGCCTGATCTGCGAACAGCATCTGTCCAGCTGAATCTACGCCAGGGATGTCCCTGGGTGCCTGCTCTGTGCTGGTAGGTGCTGGCACCCTCTGCCCATGACCTACGGCCCTCATTCCTGTCCCAGGTGTCTTGGGATATAGTTATGTCTAACTGTCAAGAGCCAGCTACTCCGAGAGCCTCATGCACTCACAGGCAGGGCTTTTGAGAGGTGACTGGATTACGGGGTTGTGATGTTGGAAGGCTGGGCCTGGTTGGCAGAGGTGCGTCCCCAGGGGCGTGGCCAGGAAGGGTTTCTTTCCCTCTCTGGCTCCTTCCTTCTCTGCTTCCTGGACACCATGTCATGAGCAGCTCTCCTTCCCTCTGACGCTTTCCACATCTGAGCCCAAACAAACCTCTCCTCCCTGAAGTGGAGGGTGTCGCGTACTGTGTCTCGGCAAGGAGGAAAGTGGAAGCGAGGATGGATGAACGCTCGGATCTCTAGGACACAAAGCTGAGGGAACTGGGCTGTGAAAAGCCAGGAACAAAAGCCACAGGGCATCCAGGGTCCACCTCATCAGCCCCAGACTCCCTCAGAGCTCCAAGGAGGCAGCTGGATTGGTGACTCCAAGGACTGGGGCTCGTGCTGGGTGAGGGGCGGAGAGTGCTGTGGGCAGAAAGCGTCCTGACTTGTCCACGCCAGGCAGAGGCAGGCTGAAATCACGGGAGGCATTTGGAAGAGTGGCTGGCACCCGCAGAAGGAGCATGAGGTGCCGCAGGAAGGTGTCAGACACCCCGATGCCCGGGAGGGGGCACTGGGAGTGTGTGGCTACAGCAGACAGTGACGGGGGCCGAGGGCCACTGCCGCACTTGAGCATATGGGGTCTGACACCGGATGAAGTCAAGAAAGAAGCTTGGCCATTGGCAAACCCTCCTGGGCATTTCCCTGGGGCCCACAGCTGGCACTATCTGAGTGGGATGCCCTGGGGTCAGACCTGAATGGCTGGGGACATTTTTCTTTAGTTTTTTTTAAAAACAGTCTGGCTATGTAGTTCTGGCTGCCCTTGAACTCACTATGTAACCCAGGCTAACCTCAAGCTCATGGTGATCCTCCTGCCTCGGCCTCCCAAGTGCCGGGGTGACAGCATGCACCATCACTCCCAGCTCAGGCCATTCCTTCCCCCACCTTGTAGCCAGCCAGCGCTCATCTTGGGTCCTTGCACACACTGCTGCCCCAGGAAAGTGCCCTCCCAGTCCCTCTCCAGGGCTCCATTCCACGTTACCCGCCTGGCAACCACTGTCAGAGTCCCCCACGCAGGCAGTGCCAGGGCCAGTGGCCGTGGGAAAGAGCCGTCTTGCCATAGCCGTCTCCTGCACTCTCCACTCAGGAATGAGAACTGCACTCCGCTCACAGGTGGCAGAGACATCTCTGTAAGAGGCCTGCGATCTGCCAGAGGCAGCCTCGCAGGATGGGCTCAGACAAGTAGCTGTGTGGACGACACGTGCCACCACGCCTGGCACAAATACACATTCTTCCCTCTCCTACTCCAAAAGCAGCAGGGAACACGGACACTCCTGCGCCCTGCTGGGTGCACGGACGACACACGGCACGCCATAGACTCCCTCCATCCCTCCGCCCGGCCGTCCCTCCCACCACCTGCCCATCCCCCAGCATTCAGATTAGCTCCCCTAGCTGCTGGACAGGGTGCTGCACTGTCCCCCGCTGGTCCCTTCTCAGTGTGGCCCTGCTTCCTGCTGGGACCCTGCCTAGCGCAGGAGCCCTTGTCCCAGCCCCCACCTGACCCCACTACCCTCCCTTGCTTCTGCCTCCCCGCCTACTTCCCCTACATCCCAGGATAGAGTCTGGCTCCCAAACTGAGTCGCCAACAGCTACCCTGTCACCAGACGACCTCATACATCTGATACCCCCAGCCTCTGTCCAAGTAACAGCTCCTCTCCCCGGCCCGGTCACAGAACCGCACACACCAGCCGTGCCAGGCTGCCACCCGAGACCCAGAGTCCACCTGCCGCCAGTGGGCTTCCGGGGTTCATGGGACCCTTACACTGCCCCCTGCCTCTCTTCCCACGTGTAGGCCCCACAGCATTCCTGGTCCAAGGGCCCTGCCCTGAGCCCTCCCCCTTTTGCTGAGGCACTGAAGCCCCACTCAGACCAGAATTCCCAGGGTCCCATCCCTGCTGCCCTTGGAGACCCCACCACGGCCGGCCTTGCCCTCTCCATGGTGCTTGTCCCATGGGGACACCCACAGCAGTCAGGTGTGTCCCTGCCCCACCCAGCCCCAGGGGTGTTGAGCATAGAAGCTCTGGCCCTAGACAGGTCACTGCTTAGGCACCCTGGTCCCCAATTCATCCCCAAGAAGAAGGAACAACCGTCACTGCAGGCAACCTCCCCAGGGGACAGAAAGCCCTGCAGTAAACCAGCGCTCTTGCTCACACCGGCCTCAGGTCCACGCCAAGGCCCAAGGGCAGCAGCCGGGACAGTAGGTGACCCACCAGGGGGAAGCAAAGCACATGGTTTCACAAAGGCCACCACTCCCAGGACGGACAAACAGGCACAGTGGGTATAACACATACCTGATGCTGCGGGAGCTTTCTTCTTCAGACCTGCAAGGAGAAAAACGCACACTTAGATGCCAGTGCCCTCCGCTCCCGGGGCCTGCAGGAGGCCACTCCATGCGAGGACACATGAGGTTCCCAGCAACCTGTGTCCCTCTCCCGCTGTCCACCCCCAGCCCCGGCCAGCCCAACCCAGCCCAGCCCAGCCCAGTCTCCAGATCTTGCTGCTCTTTTCCCCTGAACTCCACCTGGAAGGCACCTCCTCCAGGAAGCCCTCAGGCTCCATTCCCACCCCTCCCAGCATCCATCACCTCCACAGTTGTTTCCCCACGACCTGAGACACCCCAGGAGTCAGTGATAACCCTGAGAGAGGGCTTGTGGCTCCAGCACTCTGCTCTCTGGATTCTGCAGGGCAGCGAATGAACGAAAGCACTGGGGAAATGTGAATGGCCTCCTGCACCCTTTACTTGGTACTTCCAGAATAAATTCCCATGGCCAGGCGCAAGCATTCAGAAATCAATTACAATCACTTTTCAAAGGAGACAAGCCTGAATGTTAAGACATTTAGCAATGAGATCGCATCTCATCCTTGAACTTGCCCAGAGATTGCAGAGCACGCACCACACCCATAGCGCCCTCTCTCTGCTCCAGGGAGGAGCTCAGAGCTCAACCCCACACCTTGCCGGGCTTCCAGGCTTAGGGTGCAAATGGCTACAAGTACACACATTCACACTTAATCCCTGAGTGTCCCATCTGGATTTTCCTGCCAGAGGGCTGTACAAATGTTTAAGACAAAGCCAGTCGACTGTCTTTCTGCAAATGGCCTTTCCAGGAACATGACCCGTGCATGGCCCATGAGCACACGCAGCTCCCGAAAGGGCTCATCCACCCATCTTTGTGACCAGCCTCAGAGTCCCTGGCACCCTTGACCTCAAGACCCCCAGCAGGTGCCCAAAACTCCTTCTAACACCAAACCCCATCATGTACTGCTTTTTTCATATTAACAAAGCCCTTAGCAGGCACTATGGCCATACATGTTGCAGTGTGAGGAACAAAAGCAACAAATCTTTTTCCTTCTTCACAAATGCATAGGCAGAAGATACAGTCTTTTTTTTTTTTTCTTTTTTTTTTGAGACAAGGTCTTGCTATATAGTCCAGGCTGGGCTTAAACTCACTATGCAGCTCAGGTTGGTCATGAACTCATGGCAATCCTCCTGCCTCAGCCTCCTGAGAGAAGATTCGTTTTTACCACAGATCTTGGCAACTCTAGCATAGAATTTTCTTTCTTTCATCAGTAACTGGAGAACTTCCGCTTTTCCGCTTCTTTGAAATGCTTCACTGCCTCTCTCTTCCCTATCTGAATCGCCAGTACCACTTCTCTTGTGCTCTCGGGCCATTATTAAGTTAAATAAGGGCCACCTGAATACAAGACTCCAGTACTGCCACAGTCGATCTGATAACTGAGGCAGCCAGGAAGTGACTGCAAGGGAATTGCAGACGCGGTGTGGATCTACTGCACAAAGGGATGATTCGCGTCCTCAGCAGGAAGGACCAGAACGGCACGATTTCATCAACTACTCAGTGTGTGGTTTAAAACGAAGGAGGTGCTTTTCTCTGGATTTTTCCATTTACTATTTTAGACAAGGGTGAATCACAGGTAACTAAAGCACGGAGAGCGAAGCTGGGAAAGGAGAGACAACTGTAGTCCCAGCAAGCTGAGCTGCAGGAGCCTGAGTGTGGCCCTCGCTCCGGAAGGACAGGGACTCCTGCCCAGGGCTCCACGTGGGACTCGGAGAACGGCCGCGGGGTCACGCCGGCCCTACACCAGCAGGGGAAGTGGCCAGGGGACCTGGGAGTGGCTGAGACCTTGCTTCTGGAGGTCAGGGACAAGGTGCTGACGCTTGAGACCCCGGCAGCTGAAGACTCCAGAGCCATTTTTAGGAAGTAGAAACCACAGCCAGCGTAGACCGACTGATGGGCGCGGTGACCCCTGAGGACAGAGACAGGAAGTTCTGCTTTGGATTTTGTCTTCATCTGGTTATTTGCCAGGGCAGAGGAGAGAGCAGGCAGGGGCCAAGTGTGTGCACATGTGAGTGTGTACGCGCACGTGTGTGTTTGCGCACATATTCCGTCTCCATCTCCCCCTCCAGCCAGGTGCTCTTCCTGGGGAAGCCAGCTGCCCTGTGGCCTCTGGAGGGGACACAAGGGGGTCTACCAACCAGCCCTATGAGTGAGCTCAGAAGATAGCTTCCCAGCCCTGTGCTGCTATAGCCCCGGGAATACCGTGACCGCCACTGCCACTGCCATCTTGTTAGACCCCAGAGGCAGAACGCCCCAGCCACACTGCTCCAGACCTTTGGGGCCTAAGGCCAAGCCCCCCGTCACCCTCACTTTTGTCTGTATCCTCACTGAGACAGACACCTTGACTTTTTTTTTTATGTCACTGGGGATTGAACCCAGGCCCTTTGTACTCAGCTACATACCCACCCCTCCTTCTGTTTTGTTTTGAGTCAGGGTCTCACTAAGTCACTTAGGCTGTGCTCAAACTTGTGATCTTCCTGCCTCAGTCTCCTAAGGTGCTGCAATTACAGGCCTGTGTGCCAGCTCTTGGCTGCACTTTGACCCTTCTGTGACCTGAAGCTGCAGGTTTCCCTAACTAGGTTGACCCCAGTGGGGACTTGAGCACGTCCAGGAGCTGAGAAAGTGGTTCAGCTTGTTGCCCCCGACACAGAAAGACTGTACCTGTTGCCACACACATAGACCAGCCCTGGGCCCAAGGCTGATCCTCTGCACCTGTGCAAAGCTCTCTAACCCGACGCCTTCTTAGGAACAAGTGGGACAGACAGCTCCATGGCAGCTGTGTACATGTATGTGCTCTCCTCATAACTGCCTCACACGCCTTGCCTGGCCGTTTTAGCGGTGACCCTGGCTGTGGGTTCAGCTCAGATGTGTGCAGTCTTAGCTGGAAATTTTGGGGTCCACAGATACCTCACGCAGGCCCCTCCCAGCCCCTATCACGCTGCCCTGTGGCCCTGACTCGAACCCCGTGTTTGCTGTCTGTCTGCTCTCGAGGGACAGGGATGCCTCCCGGTGATGGCCGTGTCCCCTGGGCTCACACCAGGCAGAGGTCCCTGGCTGAGAAATGGCAAAGCCAGGCCAGGGGCCCAGTAGCCTGGGCCATTGAAATCTGTCTTAAGTTACTTTCTTGTCACTGAGAGGCAATACCCAACACGCTTTGAAGGAGAACAGGTTTAGTTTGGGCTCTGAGGTGAGAAGTTTCCATCTACATGGTCAGCAGCAGGGTGGAAGGGCCTGGGTGGAGGCGAGCTGCTCAGGTCCCAGGAAGCAGAGAGGGAGAGGTGGAGGAAGGAGCTGGGAAGGGAGGAGGCACCTTCCAGGACGCCCACAGTGCCCGCCTCATCCAACCAGGCCTCACCACGCAACAGCAAGTCAGCTATGAGCCCCCACATCCGCTCACCTTCCAAGGGTCCTGCCTGTGACAGCAGGGGGTCTGGGGGGCCATCTAGATATAAATCAGAACAGAAGGCCAGGAGATACCAGGAACCGGCACAGGCCCTGAGCTCACGGTCCCTCCTGGTCACAGCCCAGCATTGCCCATAACTGGTTTCCATGTGGCCTGGGAAGCCACTTAATCCTCACTTTCCTCAACTGTGGGGTAGGGAGGACAGCACCAAGCAGCCCCTAGGAATGTGGTGAGGCGACAACCCAGGTGCCCAGAGCAAAGCCGCTGGCCAATCAGGCTGCTTCTCCCTCCACGTCTGCAGGTGGCCCTGGAGAATGTTACCCTGCTGCGGCCACGAGGTTTGGACAGAGGCAGGCAGCCTCCGGAGCAGGCCAGCGTGCAGTGGGATGCATCTGCAGTGGAAGCCGCAACCAAGTGGCTTGGGCCTCCCACCACAGCACTGACACGCAGGCCAGCTGTCCATGAAGGCGCAACGCATTCTGAAGACGGCCTTGAGTGCGGCTGCCTTGCAGTGCTGGTCCTAAGGCAGGAGGAAGTGGTTTGAGGCCAAGAAGCAGGGGGCTGAGCAGAGCCTGAGGATGACAACGTTTCTGACCATGGATGTGTGTGTGTGTGTGTGTGTGTGTGTATGTGTGTGCGCATGTGGGTGCCCATGGGGGTAGGCACGTGCCCATGGGGACGTGTAGGTCTGTGTATGTAACAGTGTGTAACAGCGGTCCAGCACATCTGTACACGGGCAGAGGCATCCTGCAGCCCTCTTGTTCCTGTAGATGAAAACGAGCACCAGAAACAGGCTGATTTCCCACACAGGGCCAGAGAAGCGGCCTGAAGCCTGGGGACTGCTGCCCAGGGGACTGTCCTCAGCAGGTCTTACAAAGCCAGGATGACGCACTCAGTGTGAACATCCGGAAGTCCCAGATGCTGGAGTGTGTGCTGGCTCAGACACAGACCTGGAGGTGAGGATGCTGGTCAAGGAGGTCGGACGAAGGTGAAAGCAGGTAAGGCAGGAGGGAGAGGAGAGGAGGAAGAAGAGAAGTGGCTAGTGCCGGCTGGTATCAGGCTGCTCATCATCTTGGAGAGCTTACCATCATGATCAACCCAGAAGCTGTGCATACTTTGCAGGACAAACCCTCAGCTGATGGTCCAGCAGTGGGGTACTGGCTGCAGGCTGCACCTGGGGGAGGCATGCCATCATGCTCTGCCTGCTACCCGGGTGGCCAAGAGCTCTAGCGGGCAAAGGGCCATGGACATCAGGGTCCCGAACATGCAGGCAAGTGCAGGGGATGGTGGACGATGGAGCCCTCCTCCGGGAGGCCAGGGTAAAAGTGACAGTGTCTATGGCCAGTGTCTTCCTCCTGTGATGGGTCCTGCGGACTAATTTGTTCATCATGGACCTTTGCCTCCTGTGCCCCTTTCAGTCCCTGGGAAACTGAAATCTCCACATCCAGACACCTGTGCAGCTATGGGAAAGGCGGACATGAGCCATGCAGGGAAGGGTGTGGTGCAGAGAGGACGGAACCATCTGCTTCTCCCACTGCACCTAGCTCCGCCGCCCAGGCTTGAG